TGGGAGAATGGCCAGGGCAGGTATTGGAGGGGGCGGGATTGGGGGCGGGATCACCAGGATCTCTTCCCCATGGAACGAAGGAACGTGTCCATTTCTGTTCCAAGGAGAGATCCCAAGAGCCGGCCCAGCTCCTTCCCATCCACTCCCAGACATGGCGCCTCCAGATCTCCTCCACGCAGCTGTCTGAGAAAGAGAAGATGCCAGGAGGGGCTGGGGAAAAACTTGCCAGGCCCAAGACTTGCCGGGAGAGAGGAGGAGGCCAGGTCAGGAGGGTCCCCTTCCCTGTATTCATTCATTCTCTCCAGCTGACATCTCATTTTCTCAAAGACAACCCATGGCACCTGGCTCTCTGCCCTCGCGATTCACCGTCTCCCTCCTTCCCTCCCCACCCCCCACCCCCAAAATAACAAGGGGATTAGAGCCGCTGCAGAGCCTTCTAGTCTTTGGGGGGTAAACAAACCCCTCCCTCTGCTCTTCCCCCACCAACTTAATTGTAGGCCCTCCCTATAATTGCAAGGCTGAGAAAGGGAGAGGAGCTCCTCCCTCCCCCCATCGCCCTCCCCCCATCGCCCTCCCCCCCATCGCCCTCCCCCAGGCCCACACCACCCCACAAGGCTCCCTACTCAGATCAGAGGAGCTAGCTTTCCTCCCGCGCACACTCTACTCTTCATGCTTCATTTATTCATTCATTCAACATTTATTGGCGGCGCACATGCTGGCTTCGGCTGCGGTACTGTGGTGGGAGTCAGAGCTAGGGGCAGCTGCACGTGACCTGAAAAGCATCGTTGGCAGGCAGAGCTGAGCCAGCCCCGACAGCCAGGTCCGAGCTGCCTGTGCGTGGGGTGATCGGGGAGAAAGCAACATCCATGATGTCAGCTTAGAAACTGGTTAGTTGAGCAGATACGATGTGCTGAGGATTTCATAAGGGGTTGGCAGGAGGCAGCCTATGCTCCGACCTTCAAACCTCAGGGTTGCAGGAGGTGGGGGTGGGGGAACCCCAGTATTCCAAGAGGCACTGGAAACACATGGGCTGTGTGTCACACGCCCCTGTCCTCACAACGCGGCCGTTCTAGTGGGAGGGGGAGAAGGATAATGAAGGAATGTGTGTCAATGTGTATATAGTGTTTCTATGCATGTGGATGGCTTTGGGGGAAAGGAAAACAAAATGAATAGAGACTGCAGGGGGAGGGGAGGCTGCTGATAGAAACGAGGTAGAATTTATCTGCAATAGATGGCAGGTGTGGGGAGGGGTGAGGGAGTAACTACCCGTGCAAAGGCCCTGGGGTAGAAATGTGCTGCCTGTGACAGGGTCACTAATGGAGGGGAGGGGCTGGTTGCCAAACCATCAGGAATTCTTCCAGCAGCCCCAGGTTCAAAGCAGTCATTCCTCAACATTTGGGTTCGGGAAACATGTAACTGATTAGTTCATAAAAAGGGGAAGGGGATACATATTCAAAGCCCGCCCGCCCTGATTGTGTGGCTGCGCGGTACCTGTGGTCTTCGGTTGGCGTGTTTGATGTCAGGGTTAGGTGACTGGGTTGGACACCAGCCTGCCTGCCGGATGGTGGCATTTGCACTGGGGGCTCCAGGAGCATCAGAGATGCCTGGGCCACTCAGGAATAGACACTATGATGCCAGGAGGGACCACGAGGCTGCGCCAGGCGGAGAAATCAGCCATTGCCAGGGTTCTGAGGGCGGAGGAGAATGGCGTGGGGTTTGCAGGGACCCCCCTCCCCCTCCCCCACCCCCACCCCGTGTGTAGCTTGGTGGCTTTCTTCCCCTCCTCACCAGCCCCGGAGAGGCCCACCTTTGCGGTGCTGCTAAGTGGTAGCCTGGCAAACACAATCGATCTTCAGTGTGGTGGAGAAATGATGTCGGCCCCAGCGCACACAAACTTGGAATCAGATGTGCGAGAGGAATAAACGGTGAGTCCAGGAGCCTGGCTCCATGCAGCCAGCCTGGGGCTCAGCATTCCCTCCCCCACACCCCACACCCATGTGTCTCCAGCCAGACTGGGTGACAGGGACCCATAGAGGTGGCAGGGATGGCTGCAAAGGACAGGCTGGGCCTGCCCTGTCATCACTGGGAATCTGCTGTCCTGGTCACTCTGGGGGGATTAATGAAACACTGCATATGTACAAGTCACCGTGCTGTTATCCAACATCCTGTGTGAGCGCGTCGATGTGGTAAATTCCCCTAGAATGACAAATTGCTTCTTCTGAATTTTGAGCAGAGACCACCTGCTTTGTAGAGCCAGGGTGGGGGGACAGGGGGAGATCCATGTCTCCAGATAAGCATGTTCACCTGCTTTTATCTGCTACTGTGTGACCTGACCGCCGGCATGTGGGGGTCGCTTCCTGTCATTGTAACGCTGCGTGTAAAGAGATGCAAAATGCAGGAAGGTCTGGTGGACATTTCCATTGAAGCTGCTAGCAGTCATTCTTCCTAGGGAAAAAAAAAAAAAAATACTCCCGGACAAGATGATAGAAAGCTTTTGGTTTGCTTAGAATCTTAAAGAGAAGACGGCTGTTCAAAGAAGCTCTGGGACTCCCGGTTTCCCTGGAAGGTTCTGGAGGTTTGGAGGCTGGTAAGGGCTCAGACTCATCTGTGAGGAACCGCCAGCGCTGCTGGTGTGGGAAAGCCACATTTCACAGATGGATGGACTCGGATGTACGCGTGTTTGAGAATCCCAGGGGAACCACAGGAGCGGGCACGTGTGATTCGGAGTGGACCAATGGTGAAAATACAAGGTGCGTGCATGTGTGTGTACGTATGTGTGATGGCAGAGTATGAAGCCTAGGGAGGGAGGTGAGCCTTTTGCATTTTGCACATGCAATTATTAAGGGTTGCTGCTTGTAGATGCAAGAGACCATGAATCTTCCCAAAATAATAAACTATGTCTTCCTCCCTCCCTCCCTTCCTCTGTTTGCTCCCCCCCTCTCTCTCTCATTCTCTCTTACCTCTCATCATCCACTCTGATCTACTCTCTTAACATTGAGCACTTTTCCTCTTTATCAGGAAGGAGTGGAGCCTAAGAAGTTAGCACCTGCTTCCCAGAAGCCTTTGCAAAAGCCAAAAAGGTTTTTAAAGGCAGTTGGAAGGACGGTCGCTACAGTCCTCAGACCCCAAGGCTGTGGGGCCAGGCTCTCAGAATCCCAAATCTGGACTGTCCCATGAGCACCTGGATGACCTCGGGCAAGCTCAGTAACTTCCCTGCATCCTGGGAGGCGGAGCCCCTGTACCCACCGCACAAGGTGATTGGCCATCCTATCCTATCCATCATGCATGACATAATCCCCCAGCCAATTCAGGGCAGGTCGTTATTTGGAGGGCAGGGGTTTGGGCTGGGTCATCCCTGCTGCAGGCAGAGGGTCCCCGAGGGCTCTGTACCCGGCACTCCGCTGGATACCTTTGGGATGATCACTCAAAGGTGGCCTCTCTCTCTCTCTACAATGACAGTCCCAGCCTTTTTTCCTTGTTATTCTTGTTTGGGTGGGAACTGAATTCAGGGCCTCATGCTGGCCAAGGCAACAATTTTAGCCCTTGAGTCACACCCCCGGCCCTTTTGTGTTGTAGTTTGCCTCAGAGAGAGTCCTGCAGATACACTTCACCTGGATTAGTCTCCGGCAAAACATCTGACCCCCAAGCAGGCTGGATTCTAGACGTGAACCTCGGTGATGCTCAGCTTGAGAGAGGGGTTCCCTCACCTTGACCCAGGCTGCCCTTCACTGTGATCCTCCTCAGGGCACATCCCCAGTGGCTGGGATTATAGCATGTGTCACCTTGCCCCTTATCATTTTTTTTTTTTTTACGTTGTATACAGGCCTCTCAAGAGAGCAATGCCCAGAGATGGAGGTAGAAATGGCTGGTCTCTAAACGCCTGCTCCAGAAACAAGCTCAGGTCTGTCTATCCCATTCTGTGATGAGAGAAAGCATAAGGCCTGGAGTGAAGCCTGGTAGAGCAGCCCTCCTCCCTCCCGTGAGGACTGCAGAGAGGCGCCAGCTGCTCTTACAGGTGCTATGCTGACATGCAGGCCGGACCAGCTGACGGCCTGAGAAGCAGCCTTGGGGAAGGGGGTCCCAGGTCGGTGGCAAAGTCCCTCACACCCCTCATCTTTGTGAATTGCTCACAGATCTCGCCCCAGCCAAGAGATGGGAAGAACATATAACCGACTCCTGCCATCCACCATGTTCACCCCTCCCAGGCTGTCCCAGGAATAAGAGGGACAGGGGAGCTTGGTGCTCAGCATGGGGGCGGGGAAGGGGTCAGTATCCTGGGCTCACAGACCCCAAATGTACAGATAAGCAGGGACTAAGCGACGGTGCCAGACCGCCCGCCCAGGCTCCCCTCGCCTAAGTAGAAAGAGCCATTTCGACATCTTAGAGCAGAAAATGGAGTTTTTTCTTTTCCTGGATGTTGTGATTTGACTGGGAGTTAGCAAAGCAGCCACAGAATCCTAAGTGTCTACTTCAAAAATAAAATAAACAATCAAGCCTCGGTCTAGATCTGGCACAGGGCTTCCCAGCTCGCCCTGTGGAGGGACGTAAAGGGCTTGCATGTGTGAGCGCCCGCCTGCACATGAAGCCGGCTTCACCATCCTCTGGTAATGTTCTGGAGGTGTCACGCGGTCTATCCATCCCAGTTAACAGTTCCGGTCTTTTAGCCACTTCCATGGGGAAGAGCCGCAGGGGACAAGCCGAACACTTAGCTGAGAAAACCTAGGAAGCAGGACGCGCCTCCGGGCAGGTGCATGCCAGTTACAGACTTAAGAATTGCAACTTCACAGAAAAGCTTCAGGCATGGCTTGATCCAGGCATTTCTGTTTCTCCGTCATGTCCTTTGACTCTGATTTACTTCCATATGTTCTTCTGGCTACTCTCCCCTCCCCACTATGAGAGTGACTAGGGTATAGTGACTAGGTACAAGTGCGTACACACACACACACGTGCACACAGTTTTTCTCTTAGATGTTTATACAAAAGAGAAAGCATCCCACAAACAGCTCATAGCTCATAGCTCTGCGGCCCAAAGTCTCCCGCCTCTCCGCACCAAGGCAGAAACAGAGCCTGGCTGCAGAGAGGATGTGCTTTGCTGTCTGGAGCAGAAAGACTTCGAATCTTTCATGAGCCAGCCTCTTAGCTGTGCAAGCCACCCAGAGCAGTTGGTGACCTAGATTGGGGTAAAGCAGTGTGTCTAGGGTTTCCAGGAGAAGAATCGAGCAGTGGGGGTGGGGGGGAAAGGGGGTGGGAGGACTCCATGAGGCTCCTAGACAGCCCTCACCTCCCCTGCCCTCCCCACAGGGAGCTGGGCCTCCCAGCAGAGGGCGACCAGCCTCTGCCCTGCGTCACCTCCCAGGGAAGGGGAAGCAGCAGTGATGTTTCTCTGATCTGCTCTCCCAGCATCCATCGGGTGGTGTGTGGGTTCAGTTCAAGGGCACAGCAATTTATTCACCTGGATGCAGAATTCCCCGGCACCTGTGATCACAGGGAGGCAGGCTCAGGCAGTAACCACGCCAGCTCATGGCTGGAGCCCTCACCCGAGCCAGGCGCTATTCTCACCCTTGACCTGGATTCATTTATTCCACACAACTACCCGCCCTGGAGGCAGGTGTAGACCTAGGCCTAATTGACAGAGGATGGACACGTGGACAGAGCCTGCTGGGTAGCTGGACAGCTGGAACTCAGTGCGAGGCCCACGGTGTGGGCAGGTCCTTGTTTCCATTGGCAGACGCTGAGCAGGGGGAGGCGGAGGTGCCCTGCGGGTGCCGCGCCGACACCTCCTCCTCCTCCTCCTCCTCCTCCTCCTCCTCCTCCTCCTCCCCTTCCCCTTCCCTCCTGCATCTGAACAGTGAATTCCTCCCTGAATTTTATTGTCTCTGTGGCCATTCCTGCAGCTAGCTAATGAGCCAGGACCCAAACTTTGGTGGACATTGAGCCAATGCTAGGATGGGCTAGTCTAGGTCTACAGTCACTACTGTGTGTCCTTGGGTAAGTCATTTATTTATGCATGCATGCACTCATTCATGCATTTATTGCTGGATGTCAAGCCCGCTCTAATAAACCCTGAGAATAACCCTGCAAGGATGGAGGACCATAATGGCTCCAGGAGGAATTGATCAAAGATGGATTCCCTCATTCCCCCTGGGGTACAGAGATACCAGTGTTTCCAGGGGCTTCTCTACATTGGAAAGAGATTGGACTCGAGGATTTCCATCAAGTCAGCCTTGGGTCACAGAGTCCACTCCAAGACTAGGACCAGGATATGTTCCCTCTCCCAGAGAGTGAATGGGACCATGTGAGTGCAGACATGGGCCCCATAGCCCCAGCCAGCTCCCTCCCTGAGCTGCCTTCTCCAGGCCGAGAGTCAGGTAAGCAGGGCAGGAAACATTCATTAAGCAACAGAAATCCATCCATTTATGCAGGCATCCTAGAGAACTCAGCACAGTCATGTTAAAAGCCACTCACCCGAGAATACCTTCAGTCCTTTCCTCACCCAGCCAAGCTCCTACCTGTAACCTTGAAGAGGTCCCTTATCTTGCTGCCAGGGAAATCTATGCTCAATTAAACAAGCCGATTTCCTCTTGCACTTTTCACTTTCGCTGTCTTAAATAAGCTCCGGCCGGACCTGCAGGAGGAGACACAGGACTCTCGCCTGTGTTTTTCATCAGACTAAACATTGTTTCCCCACGGCATACACTTCAGGGCTTATTAAATCAACAAAACCTCAGTGCTCCCCAAATGAACTCCCGATGATGCGATAATAGCAATTACCTTGGAGAATTCCAATTGGTGCAAATCACCAGGAAATGTCAACAGCAGCAAGCATCCAGGCTAAAACAGCCCCACAGATAATTTGATGGTTTATCACCCCAGAAGGTAAAAACGCCAATAGGGCTGAGTGGCCCATGGAAAACTGTTGACAATAGAAAATAGTTTTCCTCACCTCAGCCAGAGCAAGTCCCTGGTAACGTTGAGCATCTCTGTGCGGTAGACTCTTCCTCTCCCTCTAGCCATCTGTAGCTTGGATAAAGGAAAACAGAGGTGGCCTTGCTATCCGCAGGGTCTGTACCCAAAGATTCAACCAGGCCTCAGATAGAAAATATCTGAGAACAAAACAAAAAACACCTTGCATCTGAACAGAGAATGCACAGGTTTGTATTCTCTTGTCATTATTCCCCAAACAACTATTTGTTTGTGGAGAATAAAGCCAGTGAGAGTCCATGTTCAAGGCAAAACAATTGACTCCAGATAACATTTACTAAGGAGCTTGCTTATTCAATGACTTCTCAGCCTATCAAAAAGTTCATGTGGGCTAGGCGCTGGTGGCTCATGCCTGTCATCCTAGCCACTCAGGAGGCTGAGATCTAAGGATTAAGGTTCAAAGCCAGCCCAGGCAGGAAAGTCCTGTGGGGCTTTTATCCCTAATGAACCATCAGAAAACCCGAAGTGGCGCTGTGGCTTAAAGTGGAAGAGTGCTAGCCTTGAGTGAAAAAGCTTGGGGGCAGCATCTAGGCCCCGAGTTCAAGCCCCACAATCGACCAAAAAAAAAAAATTCATGCTCCTGGAAGCACCCTAGACAAACAGGAGAGGCAACTGGAACTTGAGAAGGGACCAGCTGGCACAAGAGAAGGTGGACCGCAGTGAAATGAGTGAGAAGAAAGGACTTGCCGGTAGGCACACACACACAGGAAGCACATACCCAGGAAGGAAAGCCTTCCTGCCACAAGAGAAGAAGTGAGGTGCAGACACCCAACACCCCCTTCTGAGACGCAATCAACCCTAGAGGTTCATATAGTAAAACTGCCCAATAGAAAACAACGCAACTTAGCCGACATCTGGGAAGACGGTACATGCTCTAGCACTCAGCCAGTGAGGGACTGGGGAGAGGAGCTCTAGCACTCAGCCAGTGAGGGACTGGGGAGAGGAACCTGAACACTGCAGGATACATTGTGCTGGCTGCTCCTTCCTGCTAGATAGCCTGGCAAGGCCATTGGTAGCCATCGAGTCTCGCTTTCTTGTACTTTGTGTCTCGAAGAGTCCATTCTTGGAGCTTGGATGGATGAGTGGGTTGCTCCCATGTTGCGCTGGCTTTATATTGGGTAGTAGAAGTCATCTAGACATGATTTTAAGTATGCAAGAGAATTTGCAAATACACTCCCGGGCTGGCCCACCATTTTATACAAGCAATTTGAACATCTGAATTTTGGGTTTCCTTGAAGAGATCCTGTAGTCAACCCTCCCCATCCCTCCCCACACTCACAGAGTGATAATTCTGTGTAGAAGACAGGATTTGTTTTCCCCATAATTGACCAGCTCTACTCCAGCTTCTCCTACAGAGCAAGCATGCTCTCCTGCCTGCCTCCCACTGTGTGTGCGTGTGTGTGCACACACACACACACACACACACACACATCCTGCTCATAACTACCGATCTGTTTCTCTGCTCTTACAGGTTCTGGTGGTTTTATTCCCTCTTACCTACACATTGTTCTATCCTGATTTTGTCCTCTTCTCTCTCTCCTTCTTGCATAGATAATTAGAATCTGCATTTGACTTAAAAAAAGAAAAAAAGAAAAAGCACTGACTCCTTGGGTCAACCAGAAGCAGCCTAAAGTGCTGGTCCTCTCTGCCATCTGTCATCTCTGCCATCTGTCCTTGCAAAGAGCAGCCCTCTGCAGCTACCTTTGCAGCCACATTGAAATCCAGGAAGGACAAGACTGATCAATACCATCTTGTGACACGAGGCAAAACTACTCCCACAGACAGCAATGCCTTTTTTATCACAACCAGACACGGTTGACCATCCTGCGACAGAGATCAACCAGAATGCACCGTGAGCTGTGACTTTTGCTAATTAGACATGCTCTCACCCTGTGCCCCAATACTTCTTCCACTTAAACCTGAAGCTCATGTCTATACCTTGGAAGGTAGACTGAAATGCTGATGTAGCTTCTTCCTGTGGTGTGCATGTGCTGTGTAACAAATGTCCCGGCCCTGCCCTTCCCACCCTGTATTTCTTTATTTGGTGTAGCTGGACCTTACACATGGAACTCCTGGGGTTGAGCCTCTGGCCTATCACGCAGTTACATTTCCTTTCCCTGTGTAGACCTATGCAGATCTTGCTGAACACTTACCCACCTTGTGGGAATCCCACAGAGAACAGCCAGGCTGACCCAGCAGGCAAAGCTGAGCAGCCAGAGTAACCCCAGCTCATCCATGGGAATTAGAGACTACCCCATCCCAGGGCAGGTGGAGATTTCAGGACACAGGAACCAGAGAACTATAGTCCATTTCACTTAGCCCTCTGTGACCAGGATGGTGGGGTGGTGAACACCATGCAGAGGATAGGCCCAGGCTTGTTTCTTGGGGGTCCAGTGGCGGCCTCTAGAGCATAAACGATTATGTCACCTGCTGCCAGTGGCAAGGTCCACGGTGAGCTTCACCAAGCATCAGCGAGCAGAGACTAACCAGGAAGGCTGTCGAATAGACAGATCCTGGGACTATTCCTCAGGGCAGCCTGCTTAGAAGGTTTGCCCTGGGTCCCTAATAAAAAGCACACTTTGGGTCAGGAGGGATGAACTGGGAGAAAAACAAGGGAAGAGGTGACACTGTTCAAAAAGAAATGTACTCATTACCTGACGTACATAACTGTAACCCCTCTGTATGTCACCTTCACAATAACAATAAAAAATAATAAAACCCATACTTTGAAAGACTGGTCTCTCCCTAGGAAAGTGGTCTAGAACCTTTTAGAATCTGTGTACCCTCCAGACCATCAGCTGTACTGAACACTGATGAAAATGAACTAAGCAACTCAAGGGCAGCGATGGGAGGGAGGGAATGAGAGGGAAAGAGGGGACAGCTACTAAGCAAAAGGAAAGAAACGTACCTATCACCCCATGTGGAAGAAATAGTTGTATTGTCAAAGCTCATAGAATTCACAAACATTATAGACCGTGATAATGACAACTTGCCATGTGAACGTTAAAATGTGCTTGTGACTTTAAGTATCACTATCTTATGGTACTGTGAAATTTATGTAATCAGTTAATCTCAATTAAAAAAATATTAAAAATCTGTTCACCCTCCCAAATAAGTTGTACTAATTTATCATTTTTGTGCACATAGTGAGAGTCAGGATATTTCGTAAAAGGCACCTTCTCCTTTTAAATAAAGGTAAATATAAATGGAACTTATGATGTTTTCTTCCTCTCTTCCAGATTCTGCTTTTAAGTCCCAGAGTCTTGCTTACATTGGAAGCCTGTGGCCGTGGGTTCTTGGATAGAAGCTCTACTCATCAGGGGACTTAAGGCCAACACCATTTGTGGCCTTCTCTTCACCCATCCTTCCTCTGCCTTTCTGACTGGGTCAGCAAGGGTGACCTTAGGATCAAGGTGAGACCTGAAGCCTTCCCTTCTCTCCTCCATTTTCCTTAAAGCTGGGGAGCTGAGGTGGGCGTGGTGGACAGCTCCTTACTTTCAGAGACTGAAGATTCCCACCCCCGGCCCCCAACACCCCCCACCCCCACCCCACAGCGGCACTGCGTGGTTTGCCTCCTTGTAGCAAGTGGGGAATTTGGACACTGCTCCCAGTCATGCTCAGTCTTACCCAGGGTGCTGTGAGCCAGGCCTGAGGTGATTTAGTGGCCTGTCGAACTGTTGGAGACATGCTTTCTCACCTGTAAAATGAGAGGGCTGGGCTGAATGATTGCTTGGCCCTTTCCTGCTCTGCCAGGCCAGGCTTCCATAAACCCTGGCAGCACGCTTAGGAGTGAGAGAGAGAGAGAGAGAGTGTGTGTGGCAGGCTGGGAAAGGGAGAGGCAAACATTGATTACTAAGTTTCCTACCAGGTTTTTCTACCTGAGACAGACTCAGGACGGCCCAGAGTCCCCAAGAAAGGAAACTAAGACTCTCGGCTTTGACACTTTGAGAAGATCAACAGCACTACTCCATTGCTTTTTTTCTTACCTCAGCTGCTTCCCCCCTCCCCCAAAATAAAAATCCAGGCAGGTCTTCAGCATCCCTGAGGAGCTGGGCCATGCGTGTAGCCCGAAATGTTTTGTTTCAGTGAAGGTCATGTATGTATGAATTTTCTTTGCCCAGCATGGCATGATGGGGCATGGAAGAAGAGAATGTGTGGAAGAGAAGGCGTTTGTGTGTGTGTTTGTGTGTGTGTGTGTGCGTGTAATGGAGCACTGTGTTCCAGCCTGCCAGCCAGGTTTACAAGAGGAAACAAACTTGTATTTCCATCAGGAAGTGCAGGGTTTGGAGAGAAGACAGAGATGGGGATGGGCAGGGGGCAAGGAGGACTGAGGACCGGAGCCCACAGCTGCAGACCCCGACCGCCCTTAAGCCCAAAGACCCCATGGAGCATGGAGAGAACCCTTTCAGGAACACAAAGGGTTGTGGAGAAAGATGCCCCTGGAGGAGAGCAGCAGCCTTCAGTGGAGAGACAGGAGGGAAGGAAGCAAGAGGAAATCTCTCCAGACATTTCCTCCATACTATCTCCCCCTTCAGCTCCCCTCCGCCAGGCCTCCTGGACCTTGTGGGACAAGAACCCACAGGGAGGGCACCTGGGGCAGGGGACAGATCTTTGCACAGGAAAATGCAAATTTTATTCCTTAACATAGATTGCATTTATATATATATATATATACATATATATATATATATATATATATATATGCATGGATATGTAAACACACACACAGGTATATATTTACAATCCATTGTCCATGAGGCACCTTAGTGGCATTGGAAGCCCAGTCTGGGCTTAGAGAAACCAGAACAAGGCCCAAGTCCTGGCTCTGCCATTCACACCATGCTAGATCCTGGGCAGACCACTTCACCCACACAAGTATGAATGAGAGACAATAATCCTTCTGTGGAGGTTTATCCTGAGGATTAGCAGTAATGCTTGAGACATGGCTGGCAAATGGAGCAGTCCGTGTAGACTGGATGAATCCCAGGTTCCATGCGTCACCGCAAGAATGAAGAGCTGACCGTAAGGGCTGGTGAAAGGAGACCTCCACGTGCATGGTTTAGGCAGAGAGAGTTAACCTCTGGGCCTGCACCAGATGGAGGTGGGCAGGGGGAGAGAGGATGAGGAGAAGGTGTGGCCGCAGCAGATTTGGAAGTCACCTCCGAACCTGGGAACCACCCACTGCCCCCAGATGCACCGGTTACCTGGGTTACAGGTGTTGGATCCAAACTTCTAGAGAGAGCCAAAGGGAAGGGGCCATTTTTCCTGGGATGGCCTAACGCTGATCACCTCTTGGACCCAGGACTTGGCGGTTCTTAGGCAGCACCACTGTGGTACTGACTCTTCTTTCCATCCTCTTGGCCCAGCCTTTGGTTACTCT